AAAAAAAAAAAAAAAAAAAGCTGGGCCTGGCTGGTTGAGTCTTGACCCATGACCCAAGAGGTGACCAGCTCAGTTCCCGGTCAGGGCACATGCCTGGGTTGCTGGCTTGATCCCCAGTAGGGAGCGTGCAGGAGGCAGCTGATCAATGTTTCTCATCATCGATGTTTCTCTCTCTCTCCCTCTCCCTCCCCCTCTCTAAAATAAATAAAAACATTAAAAAACAAACACAGTTGGGCAAGGAGACACGAATCTGGGGCAATGGGTGAGAGCACAGAATTCCAAAGGGCAACCTTAGATCATTATTCCTTTTCCTAAAATCCCAGATACTATATTTTTATAAACATCGTTTCTGTTCTCAAAAACATGTACTTTAGATGGGACAATGAAATGCTTCCATAAATCATTATACTACCAGATGGAGTCAGGTGAGCCACCCGCTGTCTGATGCCTGAATTCTACCTATAGGACTTCCAAATTAGTTACCCTGGCTTTGCTTAAAGACCTCCAGAGATCTGCCACAAAGGTGGACCACTTATTCCATCTTTGGATGCCTTGGACCATCAAACCCTTCTTTCAGCTTGGCCACCATAGCCTGGTCTGCATCTCTGACACTGAGGCCACTTAGGCAGGGTGACCCTTCCATGGGCCAGGTCCCCAGCTTGCTGACAGCAGCTGCTATGTGCCCTATACCAGGTCTTGCTCTCCTTCAGGCTACACAAATGTCCCCATTCCTTCCAAGGTTCTTCAGGGACAAGATCTTGAGTCTCTTTTCTGGTCATTCTCAGCAGTCACTATGATTTCCTGGGGAACCTAAGAGAGTGATGGCCATAATGTTCAGAGCACTTATCTGCACACCACAGGGACACGCACACCATCCCGGTCTATTAATGTAGCTTACGGAAAATGGCCATAGCAGCCACGGCACATGTCGATGCAGAGGGCACTGGCCAGGCACTAAAATCACTAAGTTGATTTTCATCCAGGGTGTCACTAAACCGCATCTTCCCAACTTGTACTTATGGAATGGTGTGCTCGACCCTTGCACAAGAGACCTCACATTTCCCAGTTAATCCCTACTCAAGAGGAATTATCTTTGCAGCTGGTCAGGTGGTCAACAGTGTGCAAAAGGATGCACAGAGAATGTGGAGAGTGGGGCAAAGAAATGAAGGGAAGAGTTCACAGCTATCAGTAAGTCATATCAAGTCTCACCCATTTGGGCCTTTCCGAGGAGACAAAAAAGAGATAGGATGTCTAAAAAGTTTATCCAAGAGAGCTGTGAAGGGTCTTGGAATTGACAGAGACTTGGGGATGTCTGCAAGGCCAGCCAGATGGGGAGGAGAGGGAAGGCCTGAGCAGAGGCTATGTGTGCTAATGCTGATGAAGTGAACTGAGTCAGCGAACATCTGAGGGCAGGTGCAGCGAGGACAGGAAGGCTCGTGATGAGCAAGACCCCAGACACAAGTGTCTACATAGCCAAGCTGTGTGTTTATGATCTACACTCTTTCCATTTACTTGTTTAGACCTGTCTATAATCAGAGCCACGTGAATAAAAAGCAGGATTAGAAAAAGAGCTTTCTGGATATTATGCAACTTAACTTGGATGACTACCTACTGCATAGATGCTGTTATCTGTATTTCACAGCTAAGAACACTGGGTCTCAAAACAATTAAGTAATTTGCCCAAGGTCTCGTTGTTTCTAGGTGAAATTTACATTTGATTGTAGTTCAGAAACTTCAGCTCTCTCCACTTTGCATCACACTGCTTACATCTCCTGGCTTCCTCTCCGTGGACACTCCCTACCCAGGCACAGAGCAAGGTCATCAGGAACTCAGACTCCGAAACGACACTGCTGGGTCCAAGCCCTGACTCCACCGCTTACTAGCTATGGTAACCTTGGATAAGTGACCATCTCCAGCCCCTCCACTCCCTGCACTGTGAGCTGGGTTAATAACAGTACCTACAGCCCCAAGACTGTTCAGAGGGTTAAGTGAGTTTACATTACTAAAGCACTTTTAGAACAGTTACACAATACACAACAAACTGGATTACTTAACTAAACCAGATGTGAACTTGGGCAACCAGCTTAACCCCCAGGCTGTCATCTGTAAAATGGAAAGAATACGGGAAAATCTCCCAGTCATGACAATAACTATATATGTTTGGTTATCACTTTTACCATGCTACCTTGCTTTAAATCATCTCTTCTTTCATCTAAGGCTGAACGTTACTGGATAATTTAACCACTCAAATGATCAGTGAAATGAGCACTGAAGAGGTCGAATGACTTAGGAAAATAAATATAAATTTAGGGGGAAATCTTGAAATACAATGTGAAATCCTTAAAAAGAGAAATGAAATGCAGGAATGACAGGTGATACTAAAACAAATTCTTCCCATTCTGCTTTGAGAACAGGCACACGGACAGCATTGAGGCATATTAACCACATGACAAGTGTCCTAGTGTGGTAAATGGATCTCTCCCCCACCCCATGACCTCAGTAAAGCAGAAGAATGCTGGGGGCTATACAGATGAGTTGGTTGTTTTTTCAGGGTGGTTGTCTCTGATTTTGGTTTTAGAGTGCTAAGACTAAGTGTTTTACCCTCTGTTTTAATTTTCATGAACATTTACTTACAATACTTCAGAGATGATATTTCTGTTTAAATGTATGCTTGGAAATGTTTTAATTTAAACCACACCAATGAGAAATCTAACCTTTATGCGGTCGGGGTCCACATAATGCATTTTTTTCATATCACATTCTTCAGTAGTATAATTTAACTTGAGGATATAAAGGATCCACACTCCAAACACAAGCAATATACACCTAGAAAAAAAAATCAATTAGGTATAATGATGCAGTCATGTGACAACCAAGAGCGAGCGTGTGAAATAAGTGAAAACCTAACCCAAACCGAGGGATCAATTTAAGGCACTACTTCATATTTCCTGAGAAGATAAATTAATCATTTATGATTGTCTTTGTTACAAGCAAATATAGAAAAAAAACCCTTTTTCCATAAAAGCACCATAATAAAATCTGAATCAAAATACAGGTGACTAGAATTCAAAAAACCAAGTAATAGATTTTCAACTACAGAATCTCAGCTTCAATTTTTGCCACTTTAAAATACTGTCAGTCCTTCAAATACTGTATAATTCCACTTCTATGAAGTACTTAAGAGTAGTCAAAACCATAGAGACAGAAGCAGACTGGTGGTTGCAGGGGCCAGGGGGAGGGGAATGGCGAGTCAGTGTTTAATGGGTACAGATTTTCAGTTTTACAAAATAAAGGGTTCTGGAGATGGATGGTGTCATGGTTGCACAGCAATGTGAATGTGCGTAACATCACTAAACTGTCCACCTAGAAATATTAAGATGGTAAATTGTATATTATGTGTATTTTACCACAGTAAAAAAATTGGGGGAAAAAGACTGAGTCCTTTAAAAAAACACCAAAAAACAATCTACTAATTATTCCTCTAAAGAATTCTACCCAGAAATGAGGCTCACTGAGGTGAGGCAGTGCCACCCGCCACTTAAGACCATCTACAAAACTGCTTTTAAAAATCGGATACATTCACACTATTATATAGTTTCAAACACACATTTGGGGTACACACACACACAGGATTAGGAGAGGAGAACTGAGTCTAGTTATGGTTCTAGAAATCTCATTTTCAATAAGCTCCCCAAGTGATTCTGACAAACTAAAAGTTAAAAAAAAAGTTTAAACCAATGTGTAAGAACCACTGCTTTACATAATTTGTGTTTGAAAAAACAAAGGTAAGGATTACCCTTAAGGGGAAAATAACCTATTTTCTAAAGAAAGGGGCAGTCTAAAAAACATAGCATCCAGCATAGTACATGGTACATAACAGATGCTAAATATTTCTTAATATTTGAAGATGCTGATGCAAGAATTTCAGCACTTTCTGATTCTCATTTTAACAGGCTCCCTGGGATCAAGTACAATGTTAAGTGATTAGGATGCTACCATTTGTGTAAAAAGGCACTGGGGGGGGGCAGGCGGAGACACATACAACACACACAGTATTTCTTACATACACAAGACTGGTAATATTGGTTATCTGTAAGTGGGATGAGGGAATGTGGGGAGCAGCAATGAGAAGATGTTTTATTGAGTACCTTTAATATCTATTGAATTTTGAATCTTGTGACTGTCGTATTACCTATTCCTCTCCCCAGCCCCTAAAAGAGTATGTCATTCAGTACAGTAATAATTCCCTTACTTTGATGTTTTTTTAAAGGAAGGAAAAGAGGGGTTAAAAGCAGGCCCAGTGTCTACAGCACTGACCCCACTGTACTGTAACTCCTGGTCACGAGTCTCTCTTGCCTACACTGTAAGGAGCATGGGTCGTGAGTCTACTCTGTTTGTTGCCATGTGGCCGACACCCAACACAATGACAGGCACATGTAGGCCTCAATAAACGCTGGTTAATGATTAAAAGGAGATGGAAAGTGATATAAGTGTTTATGAATATACATTTACTTTTGCCACCTTTTTAAATCCACACCTCCTAAATTAGTAAAGTAAGATGAGACACTAGACTTCAGGGTTCCATTTCTATAGTTAGATAAGAAAAGGGGGTAATTTTCAACTTGGTTCAGCTGCTACCAAATAAAACTGACAAGTTCCTCCTTTAACAGTTCTACCACTTATTAGGACATAAGGGTGACCTGGCTGAGACACCTGTCACCCTTTTTAGTATTCAATATTTAATGTTCTTCAAATGCCTTTAGGGGCCTTTAATTAATCATGTTTTAGATTAACTTAAAATAGCTAAGGGAAAAAGCCCTCTTTTGTTAAATAATGGCAGGAAGAGCTGTGCACTGACAGAGCAGCTCTCTTGGGTATCCAAGCTCAGGTACAGAACCCAGAGGCCCCTGGCTGGGCACTGCACTCTTACCAAGTGCACTTTGATGCACAAACCCAGGGCATCTGTGCACTGACGCTCTAATCGATGTGCTTTTAAACGATCCTTTGACCAACCGTGACCAAGTATAAGAGCCATCCTTAAGGGTCTCACTGAATTTTATTCCCAATTCTACACAGTTGACCCAAATCAGGGAGATCTTCTGACCCAAGGGCTCGTACTTACTTGAAAATGTCTTTTAACAACAAGTTGGGTCTTCGCATCTTGCTCTGAGCTCGGGTATACCATTGCAGGGAGGGTCTCGAGCATTCGCTTCTCAGTTTTGCACAGGGATACTCACTCGGCATTGCTGGGAAGACAGGGGAAGAGAGAAGAAAGATGAAAGAGGGGCGAGTTAAGTGAACGATGTTCTTAAAGAGCCTTTATGTGCTGCATCCATACCAAGGAATACTAATCAGTAACAAAAAGGAATGAACTACTGACACATGCAACAACTTGGATGAATCAAGAAAGAATTATGCTGAGCCAAAGACTAAAAGGTTACCTATTGTAGGATTACATTTACAGAACATTCTTGAAATGACAAAACTATAGAAATGGAGAACAGAATAGTGGTTGTCAGGGGTTATACCAGGGATGGTGGGTAAGGCTATAAAGGCAACATGAAGGAATCTTGTGGTAATGAAAATGTTCTGTAACTTGCCTGTATCTACGCCAGTTGTGATACATACTATAGTTTTGCAAGATGATACCACTGGGGGAAACTGAGTAAAGATTACACAGGATCTCACTGTATTATTTCTTACAATCGCATGTGCATCTACAATTATCCCAAAATAAAAAGTCTAATTTTTGCCTGGCCAGCATGGCTTAGCTGTTGAGCATCAACCTAGAAGATCACGGTTCGATTCCCAGTCAGGGCCGGGTTGTGGGCTTGATCCCCAGTAGGGGGCGTGCAGGAGGCAGCCGATCAGACTTTCATCATTGTTTCTATCTCTCTCTCTCTCTCTCTCCTTTCTTATCTCTGAAATCAATAAAGACATATTAAAAAATTTACATTATTTTATTTTATTTTATTATTTTATTTTATTTATTTTATTTTATTATTTTATTTTATTATTTTATTATTTAGGGGTTGGGGACAATAGGAGTTTTAACGATAACTATCAAATTCTCCGATAATTCAGAGCTATACAATCTTACAGTATTGATGAAAACATCAGTGTAAATAGTTTATAAAGTTGAATGCACAGATTTAGAATGTCCATAAGTATTTACTTTAGAATATAATAGAGAACTTTATTTGAAAACGGAAATTTAACTTCAAAGTGCTTGAACATTAGATTAGCTAAGATAACCAAATAAGGCAAACTATTTTCTTTATATCCCTTCTTGGCTTTCCTGAATTTCACTTACATTACATAAAAGTAACGTCTCATATAAAAGGGTATCTCACTCTTTCAAGTTAGCCTGAAACACATACAAACATCTCAGTGCAGTGTCATGGGTAATTGAAGCTTTATGAATCGGCACATAACTTTTTATCTAAAAAAATTTCTTTTTAATTATTTTATTTTAAAGTATAATAGATTATGCCTTTGTTTTAATACTTCTATTGATTTTTAAATAATATGTCTTTACTGATTTCAGAGAGAGGAAGGGGGAGGAAGGGAGAGGGAGAGGGAGAGGGAGAGAGAGAAACATCAATGATGAGAGTCATTGATCGGCTGCCTCCTGCATGCCCCCGACTGGGGATCGAGCCCGCAACCCGGGCATGTGCCATGACCGGGAATCGAACCTCGATCTCCTGGATCCTAGGTCGATTGATGCTCAACCGCTGAGCCACGCCGGCCGGGCAGCACATAACTTTTCAGACTGGAATTTCCCCCATCAACAAAAAGCAGGAAGGACTGGGGAAAACGGAGTGATAAATCTAGTTCCTGCTCTCCAAATGTTCACTATCTGAAAAAGACAACACTGATATGAAAGCCAATTCAAATAATTTGTCCTGAAATTAACCAAGTGAATAAAGGAGTTATGAATACAAAACATATATAACAGGATGAAGTTACATTCAGAGACAAGAAAGCAATTTAAAATATGCCTGTCTGGCCAAGTAAGAACCAAAAGAGAGGATGACACTTGTTCCCTTTATTCAGTGAATAAAGTTACGTTTCAAAGACCTACTAATGCTTGATGATACTTTGTACATTTGAGGATGAAGGAAAACATGAAAAATTAGCAGAAAGCTTGACAGCAGAGAGAGGTGACAGAAAAAGAAGGAATGGAGCAAGTTACATGATGGAATTATTGATAAGTAGTGAAATGATTCAATAGCTGGCAAAATAAAGAATACAAATAAATGTGAGTACGTATCTAAAAGAGGCTTTACCTTTTAGAGATACATATGGAGATATTTACAGATAAAAGAGCAGAAAGGAGATCTGCTTCAAAAAAGTCAGGCAGGGTATAAGCATGTAGTGGGGGAACAGATGAGACAAGACAAGCTTTACACTGATAGCTGCTGAAGCTGGGCGATGGGCACATGGGACTCTATACTCATACTTTTGCCTGAAGTTCTCTATAGTGAACAAGTCTAAAAATAAAGTGTAACATTAAAAACAAGAAAAGTGCTACACTAAGGAAAAAGAAAATATGGCAATTTTTTAAATGTTTCTTTAAAAAATATCTGTGCTCTTGGGTATGTTTGTCTACTTGTTCTTTTGAATTAATTTTATTCTCAAATTTCAGTTTCTAAATAGTATTCCAAAAGGTACTGCAGTAGAAATGGACATATCTCCTCCCTTCCCCCTAATCAGTTTTTCCCTTGCTCTTAACTTAATAGAAGGCTGGATTTCTAACTGGGCACATGGCCTCTGAGAATAAAGACTACATTTCCCAGCCTCCCTTGGAGCTAGGTATGGCCTGGTTATTAAGTTCTGACCAATGGGATATGAGCAGAAGTGACTTGTACAACTTACAGGGTGCTTTTCTCGGCATACTCCCACTTTTTCCTTTAACCCCCTTCATGCTGGCTGGAATACTGACACACGATGAGCCACTCTAGACCACACAGAGAGCACGTCGTCCAAGGGCTGGTGGAGCAACAAGTGAGAAGGGGCCTGGGTCCCTGAATAATCCCAGTGGCAGTCGCTATTCCACCTTGGACTGTCTGCCTCTGGACTGTTACACGACAGAGAAATAAACTTCTGTCTTGTTTAAGCAATTATTAGTTAAATGCAATGTCATATCTCAACTAACATAGACACCTATTTCTATAATAATAAATTTATGTTAATTTAAGAAATGTCTATACTATATTTAATCTCTTAGCCAAGAGGAAGTTATATCTCATTATTCATTTCATTTCCCCCATTAGGGTTGTGCTATTCTGTTTGAAGAAACCACAAACTTTTATCAAACTGACATTCAAGTGTTTAATTTTTTTGTTGCTGTAAACAATCTCTCCTTCAACGCCAATTCTGTGTAGCACTAGAGTGTAAGACTTTTCATAGATATGTATCATTCTGTTTGAGTAGTTTAAAAAAACAGTGTCAAGGACTTCACTAGTAAACCCTTACTGAAGAATCTACTGAATTCTTAAAAGAGAAGTTAGAACAACTGAGACCCTGGGAGGTTTCAAACACCACAACTTTGTGATTACTTAAATACATGGTCAGCCAAGTGGACCTCCAGAGAACGAGACTGACTGTGGTATCAGAAGGAACCCGGTCTCCACCTCTGCCTACTGTTGCTGCTCTTGGCTCTACTCTGCCCTTCAGTGTAAATGACATTTCTCAGACTGTCTCTTGCCAGCTGGTTTCCCGTTAAGTTGTGATATGGGACTTTCTGGAGGAAGACTGGAAGACAAGAGGAAAGAAACAGCCTTTACATTCCCCTGATCTGGTGGAGCTTCTGATAGGGCAGCCACAGTATCGGGCAATGAAGGGTGAACATGGGACTCCAGCAGTGTGGTGAGCACCCGGCATCCTAGGTTTCTACTTGACAGAAGTGAAAGCACCTCCAGCTCTGTAATACGTATGAGTGTCAGCCCTGAGTGACAGCAGCTTTTCTTCTTCTTTTTTTTTTTTTTTTAGAATATATCTTTATTGATTTCAGAGATAGGAAAGGAGAGGGAGATAGAAACATCACGATGAGAGAGTCATTGATCGGCTGCCTCCTGCACACCCTCGACTGGGAATCGAGCCGGCAACCCCAGCATGTGCCCTGACCAGGAACTGAACCCCAATCGCCTGGATCCTAGGTCAAGGCTCAACCGCTGAGCCATGCCAAGCCAGGCGACAGCAGCTTTTTGATCTCTGGCTAATACTTCTTTCTCACTTTGGCATCTTCAGGCCTGCCAGTGTCTCTGTAATCAATCCCCTGCATGAAAGCCCTCCCTGCCTTAAGTATCTATGTGGTTTCTGGTTTCCTGCTGGACCTAACTGGTACATCAGGTAATCTTCCTCTGCACTTTCAGGAAATGACTCAAGCAAGGAAAGTAGGGACTCTGGGGGTGATAGGAGGATGTACAGTCCTGAACACCTTCCTCTCTCACCATCACTGCCATATAACATGCTCACACAACCCATTCAAAATGCTCGAAAAAAGGGTTGTGTTTCCTTTTTGTTTGTTTTGTTTTCCTGATCAAACGGGAGAGGATCTCAGGAGAGCACAGCATTTATATCCTGACACCTGGGCTCAGTTTCTCCATCTACCAGCTGTGAAGCTTTGAGCAAGTGACTAACTCATATAGCTCAGTTTCCTCATCTGTGAAATGGGTGTAATATTACCTACCTCAGAGGATTAATATGGGGAACAGTGGTTGCACATAACAAGCCCTATGTAAGTGCTGGTTGTTGCTATTATTACACAGAAAGGTGTCCAGCTCTGTTAGGGCTCAAAGACATCTGCCGTCCTCCAGTTACCCTCACTTCTAGCCACAGGCTTTGGCTCTGGCCCTATGGCAGAGTCCTCTCTTCAGTCCATTCCATTTCCTTTTCTGGATGCCTCTGGAGAAGCAACATCCTCCCCCAGCCACTCCTGTACTCAGCCTAGGTCGGGTCCTTGTCAATATCCTCTCTCCCCACTAATCTCTTTCTAAATGTTTGGCTTCCTTCACTAGCCTCTTCTCCCCACTGCCACTGTTCCCTGTGACAGCTGAGCCACTCCTGGCCTGAGTCTTGCCTTCCTTTGCACAGCCTGCACACCATGCCTGGGACCACACTTCCTTCATGACCTGCAATCTTCAACTCCCATGTGCACATCTTATGACTCCAGAGTCCCAGTTTGCACCCTCAACACAATGTTCTCCTTGCCCCACACTAATTCACTAAAGATTTCATCCAGGGAGTGGATCCCCAAATCCCTCTCTCTGCAGAACCCTCACCCGAGCTCAGACCTATATATCTAATGACCTGCCCACTATCTTCATCTCAGACACCATTACCAAGCAGACACCATTACCGAGCATATCCCTATTATATGGTAGCTGTACCTTCCCCTCAATCACCCAAGCCAAAAACCTGCAGGTTAACCCCAGACTTCCTTCTTTCTTCCCAAATCCGGTTAATCCCCAGGGCCTCTCAATCATACCTTCTTAAGCTTCCCATGCCCACTGACATTCCCTTAATGGAGATCACTTACCTAGACTCCCATCTCAATTTTGTACCTTCAAAGCC